TTTAGTGGATGAGAGCACCTGGCAGCAAACTTGGTAAGTTTGAGTCCCAGGACCCATATGCTAGAAGGACTCAACCAACTCATGCCAATTGTCCCTTGTTCTCTACATGTATGGTGTGGGATATGTGAGCGTGCGTGCACACATACACACACACACACACACACACACACACACACTTTTAGAAATCAGATTTTTCACTTATTTTAAAGTAATGACCATGGCACCAAGTCAAAATAGATCCAGGATTATGTAGAATGGTTTGAAAGATAACTTTCAGTTATTACTATGTAATTGAGTTAATTTTTAATGTTTAAATGCAATAAATATTCATATTTTTAATAATGATTCTTCAAAATATTTTGACAGGCAGGGTTGTTAATTTGTAACATGGATTTGATGCTTAAAATGCAGAAAACATGATTTTAAAGTACTCACCTGTAACATTAGAGGGATGACAACATTATAAACATAAAAAGTTTAATAAGTATCTTATTAATATTCATGAATATAGTGAAAGTATAGCTTAATTAATTTAATATGAATATGTATTTAATCATAATTCTTTACATGTATTCTACTTTATTTATTATTACTATTTAAAGATTTATTATTTTTATTTCAATGTACCTGTGTTTGCCTGTGTCAGTGTATGTGCTCTACAGGCACGCAGAAGCCTGTGGAGGCCAGAAGAAGGCATCAGATCTCCTGAAACTGGAGTTATTGATGGTTGTGTGCTGTCATGAGGGCACTGAGAATGGAGCCCAGGTCCTCTGCAAGAGTAGCAGGTACTCTTAACTGCTGAGCCATCCCTCTCGCCCTATTATTGTTATTATTATTTTAAAGGGATAATAAATCCTTAGCTTTGATAAACTCTACATACAGGAACTGTAGAACTCTGAAAGAGGTAATTTTCCAACACTGCAGTGTGGAGAGGCTGTAGGATGTTGTCGAGTGTTTCCTTAAGTAACTAGATAGGCCCCATTATTGCAACAATAATAATTGCTCAGTTGTAAATGAAGCACTTTTGTTCCAAACTGATTCTATTGGAGAAACTGACTGTGAGAATGGGCAGATTCTAAAGCATGGGGAAATGGCTTAATCCCTCACTGGGGTCCAGTCCCAGTGACGACACAGCTCTGAGCTCACCAGGGAGCCTAGACTGGAGCAGATCTTCTGGACATCTCTTCCCTCTAACACTTTGCTGTCTTGAACTACTTGTCCCTGTTGTGCAAACCAATCTAGTAGACTCTCTTTTGTAATGGACATGTATTGTGTTCTTCTGGAGGATCCTGGATAAAGACATCTTCTATCATTTGTGGATCCTATGTATTTTATAGACACATGGTATGGTGTGTATGAAAGCCATGATGAGCTGGGAGCAGCAAGTGGGAAGAGTGAGATCCAAACAAATAGACTTCAAAGAAACACTATGTACAAGAAATCGACACCAATACAAACAGTGAAATATATGGCTGCTTATGTTTGAATTTTCTGCTTGTGAGTTAAAGAAAGGAACGCAGGAATACAAAGGCAATCTACATCTAACAGGGTCAAAATGTAAGATTTAATGCTATGCCATTTCGAAAGATAAACGTTTATATTATACTTTATTGATCCCTGTATAATTTAAAGTAAATATAAATAATGAATTATTATTTCACTTGTGTTTAATCGTGGCCATAATGAAGTGATAAGCAAGAGGGCAGGTTGGAATTCTGGGTCCTCTCATGGCATCCAAGTCCAACAACTTTTGATAGAACCAACGGAAGGAAGACTCTACAGTTTCCTGCACCTTGCATTCTTTCTATGAGGCCGAGAGTGGGGCTCTGAATATCCCAGAAGCAGCATTAGTGCTCTCTGAGACTGTAAGAAATGGAAATGCCAACCTCTTCCACTTCCTCAGAATCTTTGTTTTAAAAGGCTGCTGCAGCGGGCCTTCAAGCTGGCTCTCACTGGTTCCTGCCTGCAGTCATGCCTCTGCCCCCCTCCCACAGCAAGGCTACTGACTTGCATAACAGGAAGACTGTAGCTAGTCCGATAGCTTAGTGGAAATGGGTGATTACAAGCTCTGAAGAGGCTGCGAGCCAGAATCATCCAACCGATCTGTCCCCAGAGTACTGACTCGCACAGGTCTGTAAGGCTATACAACACTGATCATTCTTTTCAGTTGCTGAGTGTTGCTTCGCAGGAAATGGGTTTCTAATATAGAAAACTCACAGGTGATGCGGGGTATGCTAAACTTTAAGAGCTTGTTCATTTACCAAATACTGCCATTCCTCAGTATCTGGGGAACTGAACCCAGGGCCCCAGGCAGATATCCAAATCCACAGGTGTTCAAGCCACTTATAAGATGTTACAGCATTCCATAGACCTTTGCACATCTTCCTCTGTGCTTTATGTATCTCTAGATGGCTTACAATACCTAAAACGATATGCATGTTATATAAATATTTGTTATTGTCCGGGGAATAAAGACGAGAGAAGAGGTCTGCACACATTCAGAAAAGATGCAATTTTAAAAAGTGTTTTCAGGGAGCGCTCTTTGAATCCAAGGGTGTGGACCCCAGATGGATGTAGTCTCTCTACTTCATTTGTGCAAACTCCTCAGCATGTGTAAGAAAACACAGGCTGTGTTGGTTGCATGGGCAATCACCCATGAAACCACTCCTTCTAAATGGATAGTTGTGAGTGAAGAGAGTGATTCTCTCTGCTTCACTCAGCAGAGTATTGGACAGGAATGTAGTGCAAGGTGAGGAAGACCCCGCTTTATCTCTGAATAAAGACCTCCATGTTGACCAGCTCCCAGGCACAGGGACAAGCGTCTAATGAAACTGTCTAACCCTCCTTACCCCTCTGAAATGGGATTTGTTCTGGAGCTGACGCTAGAGCTTGCAGTACTTAGCGATAACAGATGCTGAGTGACCAAGTCAACACTTCGGCAGGACTTTAGAGCAGGAAAATGGCATTTGGAGCATACTTCTGGTCACAACAACAAAACCAAACAGCCCATCTCATTGATTTCACCGCGGTTCTCATGGGAGAGAGACTGCGATTGGTTGGCATCATCCCACATCTATCTGAGTATATCCAATAACCAAACAGATCAACTCCATCTAAGCCAGATCAAAGAGGAAGCATAAAGGCTACAACAGGATGGGGATGCCCAGAGGGCACGAGTAACTGTTAACTACCCAGTTGTTTCTACTGCCCATAGTGGTGAGACTCTCACACCCTTCCCCATGGTGAGGCTTAGAGGCAGAAAGTGAGTCTAATGAAGCAGATGGCCTCCTCTAGAGCCTGATCTCCACCCACACAGCATAGACTGCCTCGGGGGAATCCAATGTTTTCTTGTCAATTTGTTGCATTACAGTTTCTTTTCATTGGCAAAACTCAGCAGCGCTTTCCTACAGGGCCCCGTGACAATGGAAGGACTCCCCATTAGTGCTATCGAATATGGTAGACACCAGGAGGCTGTCACAACAGAGCACTTGAAATAGGACCGGTTGGCCACAGAAACAGACATTATATGCTATTTAATTGGAATTAATTGAAATGTAAATAGTCGTGTGACTAGCAGATGCTGCACTGAACAAAGACAGCACTACAAAATAACACTTGCGGCTGGCCAGCGATCTACACTACCTCGCCCTTTAGAAGGCTTTATGAGATCCAATGCCTGCAAGTTGCAGAGAAGAATGCAAATACAAACCTAGGTCTTCCCAGCCTCCTTGGTTTCAATGGCAATGAATTGTAGCTCACCTCCTGCACGGACAGAAACAAAGAACTCCACATCACAATGAACAGCCTGGAGGAGGGCTGCCCATGTGGCCCGAGCTCCTTTTCAGTCTGGGAATTACTTTCCACATCTATAACCATCTGTCTGGCTGAACCTTTCAACTTTCAAATCTCTAATAGTCATGTTTGATTCTACCCCCAATTCTGCTTTAAAATTCTTGCCTGATATGATGAGGGCATGAAACAACTTTATTAAACTTGGCCGTGTCCCCGTATGCTCTCTTTGCTGAAAAGTGCACATTCACTCTTTGTTGAAAGTGCACTAAATTTCCTCTCCTAAATCAGTAGGACTTTGGAAAACTGGGATTGTATAGGCCGGGGGTGGGGTGGGGTCATGACAAGAAACCTACAGAGACAGTTGATCTGAGCTCATGGGAGCTCATGGACTCTGGACCAACAGTTAGGGAGCCTACATGGGACCAACCTAGGCCCTCTGTATGTGTGTGATGGGTATGTAGCTTGGTCTCTCGGTAAGGCTCCTAGGAATGAGGTCAGGACCTTCCTGGCACTTTGATGAATCTGTTCCCCATGCTGGATTACCTTGCCCAGCCTTGACTCAAAGGGAGGATCTGGATCCTACCTCAACTTGATGTGTCTTGCTTTGTTCAAGACCATGGGAGGCCTGCCCCTTTCTGAAAGGAGACAGAGGAGGGATGACCACATACTGTGGTCAGTATGTAAAATAAATTTTAAAAATGTTATTTAAATAAAATAAAATACATAAAACAAAAGAATTGAAGATTTCAAATGAAACTGTCAGAGGCATTGCTTTCAAAGCAGTTACACCAAGGTTTTTCTGGGATTTTATACTAAATATTTCATATCACTATGATGATATACCCACTCCAAAAGCTTCAAGCTTCACTTGAGGATAGTGTCCTTAATTTAAATGAAGCCAATGTTGCCTCTACAACTCTTCCCTCAACTGATGGAGACCTTCTGAGCAGCTCAAGAAATACTATAAATGGCATAAACTTAAGGTGTCAACAAACCCAGTATTTTTGGTTCAGTTACAGGCTCTCAGATTTCCCAGGGCATTCGGGACATGCCTTCATATGCCCTACATAGGTAATATAAAAGAAATGAGGTAAAGAGACTCAACACAGATGAAGAAATGGGGCAAAACCATAGATTGTGAGTATCGAACCATGGCTGAAAAACACAGTACAAGCCACACACAATTAACAACTTCTAGGCACACCTACCAATGAACCCAGAAGATGGTGGGTTGGGCTGGATCTTCTCCCTTGTGTTCTCCTGGATAATGTCCCAAAGCTGCCATATGAATTTGGGGTGAAGAATGTAAAATGGCTGAGTTGGGTTTCTCCGGCGGTGCTGGATATATGGAGTGAAAAGGTTGTAATCTGGCTTCTGATACCACTAAAATGAAACAAAAGCAACTCAAATTGAGTACAGAAGATCACGGCGTGAAAAGAAAACAGTGCCGTGTATGTCTGGGGAAACCTAGAGGACTGTGGGCCAGCCTGGAGCTGGAGAGAGGGGAAGGATCCAGTTACTCAGGGAAATACAAAGAGATACCATAGTTCTGGCCCTAGCAGGAATAATGCTTTACTTTTTCATTATTTCTTATACTTTTGATGTTATAATTTATAATTTCTCCCTTCTTTTTCCTTCCTCCAATCTCTCCCAATGATGATTTATTCAGGCTACAATGAGACCTGGGGCTAGATAAGAGGTGGAAGGCATTTTCTATTAAAGGTCTGACAGTGCACCCGAGAGGCTCTGGGCCAGGGTTCTTCATGGTCAGCATGGAAGCAGACAGAGTGGGAGAGGCGGTAGGCATGTTGGGTTCTACTCCAGCTTTACGAATAGAACCACAGCAAGGTTTGGCTCATACTGTAGTATGCTGGTCGCTTGGTACTCAAGCAGTGTGTTTTGAAAGTATATTTTCCCAATTTTACCAAGAGTCATCTTAAGAAGGCTCTACACTCCCTGGTTTTAGTAAACCAAGTCATGGACACTTGCTCTTTTCGCCAACAGCCTCTCAAAGTAGCATGACTATCACCTATTTTACCAAACCCTGTGAAAAAGAGCTCACTGGCTTTTCATACAAAGTTCCATCCAACACAGCTAGTTTCTTCCTTAGGAAGGTAACAGTTTGCTATGAGGTAAAAAATACATCTTGCTTGTATTTGATGGCTATTCCATAAAATTTAACTTATTCAGAAAGAGTCAAAGAGAATTATCCTTAGGGAAGTCAGAGACAGTCTTCATTTAAACAACAATGAACAGTTTAGATTTTTTTCCCCAGCACGCCAAATTTATTTCCAAAGCCCTTATTGCCATCCTATCACTTTGGAACACACACCAGTGTGAGCAGTCTAATTGTTGGTGTAATACAACTTTCTCAGCCTGTATATTTGCTGTACTTCCCCTGTTTCTCAGAGACACAGCGCCAGAGCACCGGGAAGCTCTGCTACTCTAAGTGGTACCAAGAGGACTATTACAGATGTGTGAGTTAGCACCCATTACTGACCTGCGCCTCTGGGTAACTCATCGGGCACTGTCTGACCCACGGTCCAGGGCATCAAGAAACTACTTACCAGGTTCAGATTAGCAGAGTAAGGAGCTGGGTCCCAGGCCACCAGGATAACATCTTTATATAAAGAGCTGTCAATGAAGTGATGGCTGGGGTTGGCAAGAATCTGTAAGCACATGATGGGGGGGGGACTTTATTATTAGTGTTTGTTCTTCAAAATCATGTTTTAAAACAAGACGCAACTGAAAAGCGGAATGAAAGCAAGGCTCGGGTTTTCTCTTTTCCTTTGGGAGAGGGAGTAAGGCTGGTATCACGTGACAAAACACTTAAGGCACATTTAAAGGGATTTGTTTTTTTAAAAATAAAACAAAAGTGAAGCTACAGAGTTCTTAATGTTTATCAGGGCTGCGCCAAATCTAGTGCTCTGGATGCCATTCCTTGTAACAGGAAATCCCAGCGCATGCAGACTCCCAGCTCCTCATTACCTTTGATGTGTGACACGGGTGGGGGTAGGTGAGGAACAGCCAGAACTGAGCTAAGAGGTGTCAGCTGTTGCCCCTCCTCCCAGGGCCTGTCGGATGCTGAATGGATCCGTCAATTTCACCTGCCATCCATCTTTTTAAAAAGCTATCAAGCGCAAGGCATTAAGACCAACCACTGACAAATGGGACCTCATAAAACTGAAAAGCCTCTGTATAGCAAATGACACCATCACTTGAGTGAAACATCAGTCCAAAGAATGGGAGAAATCTTTGCCAGCTATACACCTGACAGAAGGGCGGTGTCTAGAACGTTCGAAGAACTGAAAAGCACGAAATACGATGAAAACGACAATCCGGTTAAAACTCGGGTCATGGAACTAAACAGCGTTCTCAAAAGAAATGCATATGGCTGAGAACATTTTTAAAAAAATATTCAATGTTCTCAGCTATAAGGGAAATGAAAGTTAAAATTATTTTGAGATTTCAACTTACCCCAGTCAGAACAGCACAAATAGCATCTTAAAAAGACAAGAAACACAACTGTAGGTGTGGGCAGGTGGGGAATCTTATCAATTGTTGATGGGAGTATAAACGGGTATAGTCACTATGAAAATCAATATGGAGGTTTCACATCAGGCTAGATATAGATCTAGGCTCAAACCCATATAATGCACTTGGGCATATACCCTAGGATTCTGTATCCTATGACAGAGATACATGGTCAGCCATGCTCATCACTGCTGGACTCACAAGGCAGGCAAATGAAACCTCCAAGGTGTCCATAATGAATAATATTCATAATGAATGAATAATGAACATATAGTACACATACACAGTGGTTTATTATTCAACTATTAAGAAAAAAATTGAAGTTTTTAGACAAATGTCTAGAACTAAAAATAATCATTCTGAGTGAGGTACTGGGACCCAGAAAAGAAACCATTGCAGGTCCTCTTTCACATCTGCATGGTAGCTTTGAATCTTTAGATGTGCATTTTGAAGCTGGAGTACTGAAGAAGTCAGAAGTCCGGTAAGAGATCATGGGAGCTGGGTGACAGAACACAGATGGCAGGAAGGGGAGCAGGGAAACAATGGAGCAAGGGTGGTTAAGTGGAGTGGGGGATAGGAAGGCAGGGTATAGAACAATGTGTGTGTAGGGAATACCTAGGTGGAAAAGTCTTATAGAAGGAAGCCCATTATTGCAGAAGCTTCCTAAAATACAAATATACGCATGTAAAAAGAGTTTAAATAGAAGTACACTACAATGGGGGGAGGCAACACTTCTCCCAGACACCACAGGCTATAAAACCAGAAGTCCAGTGCCCCAGATTGATTGTCTCTTTGGGATTTTTTTGATCAGTGTGGCTCCAGAGACCCTCAAACAATTTAAGTTATAGTCACTGTACTTCATTCCTCTCTAGACATTGACGTTAAGATCCCACTACTGCAGACACCACCCACTTTAGTCTAAGATACAAAGAAATCAATCTGGCACTCACTGGAGGCTTCAAGCCTACTGAGTGCCTTTCATAGTGCTCTGGGGTGCTAGGCATGCTACCGCAGGTGATAAGTTATCATCAGTCTTACCCAGATGTGAACCCTGCGAGCTATGTAAGTACTGGCCCAGCAAGATGTGCCTACTCGTGCAACAGTGACATGAAAATTATGGGAATAACAAAGCACCTTCTCCCTGGATTCCAGGCCCACTCCATAAAATGGAACTTGTGCCTGGTACTGTTAATGGGGTCATGAATTTATAATAGGTAGGCCCCAGGGAAGAATCTACTACTATTCTGCCAAACAGCATCAAAAATCTGTCTCCTAATGAGTTGCTGTTATACCCACAGATGCATTCATCTTTCAATCCTGATCAGAGAAACTTCTATTTGCAGTAAATGGTGATTAACACAGACACCTCTGACGGCTCAATACACAGAGAATACAAGACTTCAGAATGCCCAGCACTAAATTAGACAGGTAGCACACCTCATCTCCCCAAGGTTTAGGGAATCATTGTGGAGGAAGGGGCAGAAAGAGTGAAGAGCCAGACACAGGGGATGTCTACCCCTGAAATGGTGATTCCCAGATACAGCAGCACAGTTGCTCATTTGAACAGACAGTAGCTGTGATAGCATGCATAAAATTAAACCAGACAAAATTCCAGCATAGAGAAGGGTGGTTGATATGAAGCCCTACCCCTAGATGAGGAGCTATTAGCAAGGGATGGTTTCTGGGAAGGGAGAGTCAGCTGTTGTCAGGGATATAGCTTCCGAATGACTACTAAGATTCCAGGAGATGGCCCTGCATCCATGCACATATAGGCTACACTGAGTGGAATTTGTGGTTTATAAAACAAAAAAAGAAGATAATGCATGAAATGGGGAGGAAATTAGGGGTGATAAGGGAAGAATTGTGGGGGGAGTGGAAGGTGGGCGTGATCTAAGCACATTTCATGCATGTATAAAATTCTCGATCAATTAAACATTGTCGCCATTATGAAAATGCATTTTTCATCACATTTTAATGCTTCTGAAATGAGGATGTATCTTACAGGATACATGTATTTTAATTTGGTGGGGCTTATCACTTTCTGAGAAATTACTAAATAAAATGTAGATCTTACCACCAGTGACATCTATGAATTAAGAAAATATGGTAATTGTTTTTACTTCGCTGCAGGCTGCCTGGTGCAGTGAACGATGCAGAGTGTTAATGGCTTGTTCCGCAAGAGGTTCATCATGAATCATGTATCATCTCATTTTTCTACACATTTTGGAAATTAGAAAATGTGGTTTGTTCTGAGAATAATTTTTCCATAAATTTGGAAGACATTCTTATTAAGAACATGGAGAAAAGAGATATCCCACTTCCCATTAAGCAATTTGTTTTTATTTTTCAAATTTCCAAGTCACAGATAGAAGTTTCAAAGATTTCCTAAAAGCTCTAATATTTCATGTGTTTCTGTTCCCTTTAGCTTTACTGCCATGATTTCTTCTGTAATTAATAGCATTTCACAGTTCACAAACTGAATAATTCTCTATGGCAGTGATTCTCAACCTGTGGGTCACGACACCTTTTACAACCCTAACTACAAATTCATCATTCCTAACAATAGGAAAGTTACAGTTATGAAGTAGCAAGGAAAATAATTTTATGGTTGGGGGTCACCAAAGCATGAGGAAACTGTATTAAAGGGTCACAGCTTTAGGAAGACTGAGAAGGTTGAGAACTATTGACCATTTTATTTGTGTGTATATAGCAAAAATATATACACACAAATAAAAATCATTTCTCAGTGCTTAATATAAGTTTTCATTGGGTCTTACTCATCTCTTCCTATTCAAATCACATCTAAATTCCCTCTTTTTGTATTTTTCTTCACAAATTCTTCATTATTAAAAGATCCTCAGAAATAACAGGATCCTGTGGTTATGGCTAGTCACAGTTCTGTCCACTCGTCTAGGTGAATGACCTGCCTACAAAATGTACCAATACAACCACTCCATCCATCTTACCTGGGAGTTAATGATGCGCATTGTGGTTTTATTTCCGACATCTTTCTCATAGCCACGTGTAGGGGCAGAATTAAATCTCAAAACTGCATCATGAGAATCTAAGGGCACATAAGTGACATTTTTTTCTCTGTGAAATCACATAATCTAGGAAAAAAAGCATTAAAACAAATCTTGCAATATCTGAAACTTAGAAACCACTAATAAAGTTAATATATACATACACACAGAGCTTTAGATAATTTTCTTCTGTTTTAGGATGACATGGAATCTGAAGAGTAACATGGCACTAAGACACACCAGTCAATACAAGTTCACAGATATCTATAAATGTGGCCCCAAATTGTACTGCCTAGTAACTAGAAACCTTTTGTTTCTAAGTATACTCTACGATGTTTACTACTGGCAAAGTCACCTAATGATACATTTCTTGGGATGTGTTCTTGTTTCTTGATAAATTACTATGTGTGTAAACATACACAAAGTCAACTGATTACAGGTAACCTCATTTTGTCAATAATTGATCAATTTCTGCATTACCTTATGCTAGAGGACTTGGCAGACCCATATGGGACCGGATGTGTGTTATGTACATCCTAAATACTCAGGTAATATTATTTCCCTTTTCAGATCTTCCATAGGGTTGAAGACTAGATAAATGTAGCTACTTTTCTCTCATGACTTGACCAAGTTATTTATTATACAAGACTTAAGATAGTTAGAATAGGATATTTGTTCTTATTGTATATAATTTTGTAGTAGGTTTAGAACTCTCTTACTTAAACAAAAGGGGGAGGTGCTGCGGGAGCTACTTTTGCTCCTTCAGCCAACAGCCTTTGAGATACCAGTCCACTGGGGTGTGGTATCTTTCTCTTTAAAAAAGTGGGGCAGCCCTCTGCTGGCTCTCTCTTGCTTTGGATTCCACTTCTGGCTATCAGACACTTATCCTGGTTGTGCAGGAGGCTGTTGTCTAGGACGGTGATCTGTAAGATTTTCCCTTTAAATAAATAACCCTTTTATTAATTATAATTCCAAATAGGTGTGGAATTGTTTTGTGACTTACTTCTTTAAAGTTACATTTGGATGCTTGTTACACACACACACACACACACACACTGTGTGCAAATGTCATGCTTTGTATAATTATTCCCCTTAAAATTTCAAAACATGTGGGAAATGGATCTAGAGGAAAAGGTAATGACGCTGGGAGCCCAGAGGCAGCTCACCTGGAGTTTCCTAGCCTGTAGAATTGAAGTCACTAGGTCACCCGTGGTAAGAACTGCATCTAATCTTGCTGCCTTCTCTCACATACCAAAAACTACAGCCTCTGATTCTGCTTTACTCGCTTTTAGTGAAGGTTTAAGTTTAAAAGAAAAACAGTCCTGGTTTCTATGAAGCCTCATCTTCCACTGTGAATGTCAGGGAGTCCCTGAATTTAGAGAAAAATAGTCTTGGTTTCCATGAAGCCTCATCTCCCACTGTGGATGTCAGGGAGTCCCTGAATTTAGAGAAACTACCAGTGTCATCAGTGGCCAACGTTCTGGTGCAAATAGTACGAGAATTTCTACAATCGCCTTTAGCTCTTAGAATCCTGTGCATGGGGCTGCAGAGATGGTTCAGCAGTTAGGAGCACCAGCTGCTCTTGCAGAGGATCTAAGATCAATTCTCAGCACCCACATGGTGGCTCACAACCACCTGCAACTGCAGCTCTAGGGGATCCAGCAACCCCTCTGTCCTCTGTGAATACTGCATTCACACACACAGACACATAGACAAGCACATCAAAACCAATACCAACAAGCAAACAAAAAGAATGCCATGCACATACAAGTTTAATTTGCAGCAAGCATAGTGGCTGGCAGTATGAGCGAGGGCAAACTCACAGCTTTCTGACATGGCTGGGGGTCACAAGGACACAGAGATACTGCATTTACAGTGACCACGCTCTACATAAAATCCTTGTGACAACCTGCCTTATAAAAGAGGGCTCTGCTATTTCTTTCTCAGAGTCTTTATCATACTCATTAAAGATTAAAGGCCATTGGGCATGTCCCACTAAAACAATGGTTTTAAGAGGTACCTACTTTTATTGAGAAATTCTGAGCACAATGAATACATAAGTGGTATGTTTTGGCCATGCCATCAAAAAAAATATACAGTATTCTTTGGGAGAAAAGTTTACAGGAATTGGTAAACTATGATCAGTAGGCCAAATGTGGTCTGTCTCTGCTTTAGTGACTGAAGCTGTACAACAGACACACTTAATTTGTGCAAGGGCTAGCCTTGCACAACTGACCTTAAAACAGAGACTTCGTGGCCCACTGAGCCTGAAATATTTACTATATGGCTCTTAAGAAAAAAAATAAACCTTACAAATCTGTAGATTTCAAGGACTCTAACCTCTGCAGAGATAATGCAAAAACCTTTGAAGACTTTCACAGGTTAAGTATTGCTTTGTATTTTTACAATAAACTGCTTTATTTATATTTTAATTATATATTGCATAATAAAAGTAGAAAATTTTGAGCTATAAAAATTGTATTATACAGAACAGAGAGTTCATATTTTAAACTTATTATCAGGATTTTTTACACACACACACACACACACACACACACACACACACACACACACACACACAAACAGCCAGATAAAACTGAGAGATCTTTTTAAAAAGATTAGACTTTATAACTTCTTCCAGAGAACTGGATATTCTTCGATAGTTTACCCATACTTGGTAGGTGGTAGTTTGTTAAGAGCTGGTTGTACTGTTATATCTCAAAAGCATGTTAATGGGGTTTTTTTTGGTTTTGTTTTGTTCCAAATAAATTGCTGACAACGTATGTTTATGAAACGCAAAGCAGGGTTCCTCTGCAGTCTGCGCCCACCATTCAGCTTATCTTCCTTGTGGAAAGTAATACATGTGTGTCTGAAATAATAAGCCTTCCAAAATAAAATGTTTTTTAAAATTTAAATGAATGGCTATATAAAAAGAGTCCAACTAGCTTGCAATTTTATTTTATAATCTATTCCGTCTTGCTCTTAAAATGGGTGTCTATCTATGTAAACTTTTGCTCAGTGTTAATTTAAAAACTCTCTGGAAACAAGTTGGAGAGTGATTCTGAATATTGTTATGTTCCACTATAGATTATCCACAGGCCATATTGGTTAATATACCATGGATCTCATAAGCCTTCAGGGGTGGGAAGCTTCCAAGTTCCTTGTCGAAAACTTCATTTTTTATCACTGCAAAAAACCCTGTCTGTCTCAGAGTGACAGTCCCATTTAATTCCTTCCCGAGAAGACATTTGCCGAGCGTCCAGGTCTGAATAATTAACGTCTGTCTGTCAGTTATTCTATTTTTCAAATAAAAGCTGCATTGCACGGCATGAGTGGCTGGTTCATCCTTCAGCTCCGTCCCGCAGGGCCTTCCCACTGATCAGCATAAGTGCCTTCTCCCATTTCCTTCTTTGTTCCATGGGATCTGAAAAACACCTGCACTCAAAGGGCCGAGCCCTCGTGAAGGCATCGTTTTGAACGCAGCCCCCCAGCCATTCACAGTGAACACGAGGCTGCTCCATTGTACCGTTCCACTTAGTGGTGACGAAACCATGGTGACCAGTGTTTTCTGCACCCTACCCCAGGCGTGGGCTCAGAGGTCATCAGGATTGTCACCCACTGCTTTTGTTTTAACAGTACAATGTTGAAAAAGAAAAAGACTTGGGGGGTATAAACAAAAACTGAGTTTACCTTCCAGAGCCCTCAAAGAGTCCGGGAAACCATAGATGAACCACAAATTTGAAGTAGTCATTCAGGCCAACCCATCAAAAATTCAAGAGAGAAGAGGAAGACTCCAAGCAGTTGGTATACTATGGACTCAGAAGGATTTGGGGGCAAGACTGGGGAACCAGTGTGACACTGTCTCCACAACCACAGTTCTTAGGAAGAACCTTTCTCTTAGGAAGCCATGCTGCCCATCCCTGTGACACAGTCTCTGGGTCACGATCTAATGAGCATACCCAGGGTCCTAAGTAGTGGATGTGTTTCAAGTAAATTGACTGTAATTTCAAGTTAATCAAATCACCCTCATAAATCTCCAGGCATTTGAATGTTTGTTTCCCTAGGTGGACCAGTCAGTATTTTACAATGTCACAAGGCAGAAGACCATGAATGTTTCTGGAAAGAGTACGCTGGTTTCAAGAGTCACAAAGTTACCAGGGTACAGGAGGCGGAGTGACGGTGGAGCCTGGTGGAAGGGGTCAATGAGCAGGACCGGGGACAAGAAGTTCAAATCGTCCATATTCATTTGATAAATACACATATGCCTGTATGGTAATGCATCGTTAGAAGCTATGCCGTTCACTCACACGCACAGGAAGGGAGCAGACAGACAGTGAGCACAAGATGGATGAGGTCAAGCTTCACTTCTACAGAAGGCATTACTGGGCCAGAGCAGAGCTGTGCTGACCTTCCCACAGGGCCCATCAAGGAGCAACCAGGCATGCTAGAGGCCTTAGCATCACCGTCTAGCCCTGACTCAGACCCTGAATCCTCCCCTCTTCCTCCTCCTAACTTGTGCTGACCCAAAAATAAAAACAAAGCAATCATAGCATGCAGCCTCCAGACACCAGCCAATGGCTTGCAGGGACAGGACAAAACCATCAATTATCTCTATCAATTCCCACTGTCTTGTCCCTCTCCCCTCTGACCTGCCTGTTCCACTTGACTTCTCTCATGCCTCCAAACCTGGGCTCATGTGTGATGTCTCTAAAATCAAACATCTATGCTTAGGTTTCCTTGCTTCAGCCCTCATTGCCCTCAATTCCTAGAGATTGCAACTTCAATCGACACTCAGTCCAGTGGATTCTGGATGCCTGTGTCCTATCTAGAAATGGAAATGTATGTATCACTCAGGGCTATTGATTTTACGGCAGTCAAAATGTGCTAGAACAGGTCTTTGTTTACAGCAAACACTCTCAGCTGGCAATACTACTGCAACTGGTAAATGGAGTCTGACAGTAAGCATCAGATTATCTACGCATTGCCCTCCTCCCTTCCTTGCTAGTTTCTTTCCTGCCTACTCCTGGCCCTTGTACTCACTGAAGTTTTGCTGGTCTTATGCCCTATACTGGACCCTTGGCCTGGACCGGCTTCTGCAGAGCTGTCTTTCCTGACCTCCTCTCTGCCCACCAGTAAGAATTCCTTTGAGAGGGTTAGTGTTTTGCCATCACTTCAATCCTGCTTATCTCTACGTTCCTCTGCCTTTGTCCCATTCTCAGGATGCCGGAATTGTCTATTCATCGTCTGGTTCTCCCTAGAATTGTACAGAATTTGAAATCTTCGCTGTCCCTTATTCATCTTTGTGCTTAGCACAGGATCTCCTTGAGAAATGGTGATCAGCAAACATCTAATGACTTAGGGACTACATGATCTTGGCTTTTTAAACGTAAGATTAAAGAACTTGCCAAATCCAAGACCAGCTCCAGATGTTACTGTGGGTTCTACACCCAACATACCCCACCCCTACCTCCCATTTTCCCACCTACGTGATACTATCCAGTTGTTCAATAACACAGACCCTGTCTTCCACATCAAGACTGCGATGTCTCCCCACAGCGAATTTTTATTTTCTCTGGGGGATTTCCATAGAACTGTCAGGAATGACCAGCAAATCATTGTCATTTGTTGTCTGGATGATAAGAAACTGTCTCATAACTGAAAGGAATATTTCATGTTTCCAAAACAGCTCAAGTCACGCATTCAGAGTAAAGGTCTTTAAAATCAGTATACCTCTATAATCCCAAAGAATTGTTCCATAGGACTTAGTCTAACAGAATGGGGCCTTGGGAGAAGGACTCAATGCCCACAAAACAAACACCTGGGGGAGTCAAAAGGTAGTCAAGTAGCAAACTATTAACTGGGCCTCCTCTGGAAAAACAAGGAACAGTAGAACCGTAGCCAGAGAGCCTCTGGCAGAGCTAAGGGTGGACTACGGCATATGACTGCCTTGGACATGCTTTAAATTTTTCACCATGTCATCTTTGGGAAACTCATTAGAACTTCACTTAGCCATTCCAGAGGGGGCAACCTGAGGTTAGCTGCAGCATGCTCCTATACCCCAAGGTATATGAAGAGATATAAAGTCTACTACATGAGACTGTTTTTGCTCTGAGACCCACTGATGACCATAAGGGTTTGCAATGGCAACGCCAGGTGAGTAGGGAGGACAAAACCCAGCCCTTGGCATGTACAGGATTGATCCAGCACACCAGCTTACAAAAGTGAACAGCTTTTTTGTTTCTACAAACTAAGCAACACTATGGTTCTAAGAACCAAAAATCTCAGGTATAAAATCTGAACCTAGACAAAACAAGACAGAACCAACTAACCAGCCAAAGTAAGAAATAACCCCACAAATTCCTTAAGCCTGTTCTTCATTTCTGACTTTACAATTCTTATCCTGAAGTCATACAGTTGAAATTAAATTTGGGTACTAGAAACGAACAAATATGTAACAGTGGTCTTTCATGTTCCCCAGAAATATGGCTCTCAAAATGACTTTCACATCCTCTTCCACATTTTGAGCAGAGTTTGAAAGACTCCAGTCATGATCCTTTATGCGTGAAAAAAAAGGCTAAGATTTCTTTTTGGTATGCAAGAGCCATTTGAATACTCTATATTTATGATGCAGAGGTGTTTAAAACTAAACAAAACCAGAAATAAGTTACCGCCTGCTTCAAAGCATAATACTTAAATTCCTCTTCTGCATTATTAATATTGGTCCTTGGAAATGAGAAAGAGCTGTGGTGTTATTTCACCCTGGGGACCTTTAAACCACTGTTTGTTCTTAATAAATTGCAGGCTGCTTTGCTCTGGGTTTTGCTACAAGCTCATGTGACGTATGGATAATGTTATTATGAGCCTGATGTAATGTCAGCATGGAGACATGGGGACCTCATACCACAAGGCCATAGTTGTTGTTCTCGGGTTTTAACTTAAAAAAAATTCCCATTCAGTCTCATTCCCCAAAAAACAGCTGAGTTGAGGGTGTTTCTGAGTGTGCCTTTCCGAGTTGGCTGCAGGACACCATCACTCTTCAAGGACACAGAACTAAAGGCTCTGTTTAGAAGAATCAGGGCAACAGTGAATTGCTTCTCTGTTATGAAGAAGCAGTGTGCCCCCGAATGTCACTTCCATGCTAATGCCTTAGGACCTGCCACATCTACAGTGAGAACTTTTGTGTCCAGACTTGAGGCTGAGGCTATGTTTGAGCCACATTTGTAGTCTGTGCCCAGCTAAGAACCCACAGGGGGATAAACGCACACTTGTAAAATCAGTGATCTTAAGGGCCAAACTGCTTGCCCTTAGGTGCTTGCCCTTAAGGAGAGACAGCAATGCAATCAGCTGCATTAGAGGGGTCCTAGAGGGAAGGATCTAAAATTGCCAGGGAGAGAAGAGTGGGGGAGGGACAAGGCAGATGGGTAGATACTTTCTCTGGCAAAGAATGGTGTGGGAGCCAATGCTATCCACCAAGAACTGAGCTTCTGTTGGTGAGCCCATGTCTGTCTGCCTGTGGCAGGAACGACATTCTACGGTGGCAAATATACTTACTACAACCCTATTCCATGCCCTTCAACCAAGAGATTCCTGCCCTGAAGTCCTGCCACTTTAAGGTGGCAGAGAGCTGTGGCTGTTGACACTGTGTGTCAACCTGGCTATGCAATGAGGCCTGGTAGTCATTGTGAAGTTTTTCTTTTTGTTTGTTTTTAGAAATCACATTACTCTCTTTGACCGATGAGTCAATTCCATCTTACACCTGTAAGAATGGCCAAGATTAAAAAAAAAAATAGAAAACACTGAGGACAGCTTATCCTGGAGAGGGTGTGGGGTAAAGGGAACACTCCTCCATTGCTGATGGGAGTGCAAACTGGCACAGCCACTTTGAAAATCAGTATGGTGATTTCTCAGAAAATTAGGAAACAATTTACCTCAAGACCCAGTAATACTACTTTTGGGTATATACCCAAAGTATATATTCAATAGTACCACAAGGATATGTGCTCAGCTGCGTTCATAGCAGCATTATTTGTCATAGTCAGAACCTGGAAAAATCAAAATGCCTCTCGACTGAAAAATGGATAAAGAAGATGTGGAACATTTACACAATGGAGTACTACACAGTGATAAATAATAACAAAATCTTGAAATGAATGAATCTAGAAAACATCACATTAAGTGAGGTTACACAAACCCAGAAAGACAAATATAATATGTGCTCACTCACAAGTGGTTTTTAGACATAAAGCAAAGAAAAACCAGCCTGCAATTCACAATCCCAGAGAACCTAGATAACAAAGAGGACCTTAAGAGATCTAATCTACGCGGAAAGTAGAAAAAGACAAGATCTTCTGAGTAAATTGGGAGTGTGGAGACCATGGGAGAGGGTTGAAGGGGAGGGGAGAAAAAAGGAGGGGAGCAGAGAAAAATGTATAGCTCAATAAAAACAGTAAAAGACTTAATTTTTTAAAAAAAGAATTCACACTATTCTCCACATGTATTGGGCCTCGTTCAATGAGTTGAAGGTCTTGAGAACATACAAAGGGGTATCCTAAAAGGCTCTGCCTCAAGATTGCAGCATAGACAGTTTGAAGAGATGGCTCAGCTGTTAAAAGTAGAGGACCTGAGTTCGGTCCCCAGCACCTACATGTCTGCTCATGACTTTCCAGAGGTCCTCTTCTGGCCTCCACTGTCTCCAGGCATACTCATCACACACTTAGGCATATGCAGGCAAGATGCTCACACACATATAATAATAATAAGCCTTTAAAGAACTTTTTTTAAAGGAATGCACCAAAACCCTGCCTGACATCCCCTACCTGTTCACTTGTCCTAAAAACTTCAGACTTGCAAGCTCAGGTATATCCTTTAAGTCTCTCCCCCTCTCTCCGTGTACTACTGACCCACAGAGACAGTTAAGAAACCTATGCTCTGCAAACACACGAAGTTTTGAGGACAGCATGGCAAAGTAGAGTGCACTCTTGAGTATGGTCATGTTGCTCACCATCCTGGAAAAGGGCCCCACTATGCACATGGGCTGTAACCTAAAGGTTGGACTAAGAGAACTTCCAGGATTAGGACTCACATTTGCCTGAGAACTGTTTTCAGTTGCAGCTTAGCTCTCCTCAGAGTCCCTAAACCTTGGGTTTAGTCCTTGAGTGTTCAATACCATCATTACCATTCACTTTAAGGCTGGTGCCCATCAAAGCATCCTCCAGCATCTTTGACCTTCTCCTCCTCTCCCATATTTCCACCTGATGCCCCTGTCCCCTGTTGCCCTCTGCTCACATAGACCACAGATTCTATAAGGGATAAAGTTTGTCCAGTATCCTGGGCACATTCCCAGCTTGGAACTCCAAGTGCAAAGAATCACAGCCCCCGCGGGACCCACCGATTTCCTCCCCTAGGGAGGAGTTCAGGATGGCACCGGCGGACATGACGACCGCGCAGCTGTGCAGGCCGCGCGGGTGGAGCTGGCTCAGAGGCACCCCAGGTACCAGCGGCCGCCAGCCCAGCGCTGAGAAGGGTGGCTCCTTGCCGTCCAGCGTGCGCACGCGCACGCGCCTGCGCAGCTCGCACAGCAGCTCGGGCCCGGTGCGTCTGGCTTCGCGCCGCCTGCGGAAGCGCACGCCGTGCTTGTTGAAGGACATGTAGTAGCGCATGGCCTTCTGCAGGCGCGGGTTCAGCATCTTGGAGGACACGGTCCCCTTCCAGAGCCGGTACAGGAAGGCTCTGGACATGGAGGCTGACAGCATTTCGCCGTAGAAGGCCTCCTCGGGCACGCGGCTCCGTCTTGCATGGTGAAGCTTCTCCCGCTTGTGCTGGGCGGGTCCTGCCCGCCTCGATGGCTCTCCCGGGGAGGGCTGACCCAGGGCGCCCTGCGTGTGGCGATGCCACCCTGGCTGACCGGCAGCAAAAAAGTAGCCATCTTCCTCTTCTTCCCGGTAGAAAGCACTTTGCGACTTCCTCCCGACCTGGGATGAAAAAAACTCATCCTCATCGTCAAAGCCATCTTGGTCCCATTTCTGTGGGTCCACAGGCCCACTGTGGAAGGGGCTGGCAGGGTGACTGCCCAGCAGCTCTTTGCTTGCCTCCAAATTCCTGAGCAAGGAGGGTTCCTGCAAAGCGCCCATGATGGCCCGCTGCTTGCCCTGCACGGGTAGGAGGCCATGGTTCTCCAGGAAGGAGAAGGAGCTGGGTACAGGCGCAGCAGGATTGCTGTTGGTAAAGTAGATGAAAATTGCCAAAAAGAGGAGGCCCCAAACAAATATTCCAAAGAGCATTCGTTGTCGCCATTGCTTCAAGTGTGGTTTCATTGCAGACCTCTGAGGCCAGCACTTCACCTTAGGTTTCTAACGTACGGCGGCGAGGTGGGCAGAACCTGAAAAAGACAGGAGTCACAGTTAACATGGGAAGCCTGCTCAGACGCTGCTGGGGCAGTATTCATGAAAAATCAGCTGAAAGGGGCATCAGAAGACAGAATATCCAGGACTACTGAATTCACCTCTCCCCTACCTTCACAATAATGCAAGGTCACACCATCTCAGCAGAGCCTTGGGAGAGAAAAATCTTTCCTAAGGGGCTCTAGACATGTCTGCCGTTCATGCCTGTGCACTCTTGTGGGGAACCTATGGCTGAACCTTCCTTCTGCATCTAGTTAGGGGAAGCAAAGCCGAAGAGTCTAGTTTGTTTGCTTTTGTCTGCTAGCAGTTCGTCAACGTCTCAACTCAGATATTTTACAGACTTCTATGGTATGCATTTCTAAATTCTTCATGATCTACCTGGAACATGCCAGAAGTCCACCGCTGGTGGTTCTAAATAAAGCAATGGGGTGACTGTGGCTGCAGATAAACGCTGTACAGGGTACCTTCTGACTTGGGTGCCCTCAAGGATTGTCCTGCCCTTCTGCAACCAAGACTGAACCAGCAGGGACACAGAGTTAACCTAGAGGAAATACCAGCAGTTGCCAGGCTGTGCGCCAGGCCCTGTGCTTAGCACTTGTCCTGGTTTATCTCCTTAGGTGTTTTTAGTTTTGAATAAGACAAAAAGAACTGTTATATCCATTTTCAAGAATTAGAAATGGGGGGCTGGAGCCATGACTCAGGGGTTAAGAGCACTGGCTGCTTTTCCAGAGGTCCTGAGTTCAAGGCAACTACAACCATCTATAGTGAGTTCTGATGCCCTCTTCTGGCATGAAAATATATATGCAGATAAAGTACTTATATACTTAAATTTTTAAAAAGTTAGAAACAGGTCCACAAAAGTAAACCAACATGCTCAAAAACATGTTATAGAAAGCAATGTTGTGTACGAACCCATCTTGATTTTAGGGCTTGCTAAACTTTGAAACCATATCAAGAAAAGTTATATTTTCTAAATTTAGCTTGTTGTATACCTGTGGTAAAGGATCATTTTTGCCCAAATTGCCACTTGCTGCTCTACTTTGGTGTTTTCTTCTGTAGCAGAAGGTGACAGCCATGACAATTACTATCAAAACTTCTAAGTGCTTACTCCTTATGTGTTCACACATCTCACTAGGAAGTGATAATGGATAGTTTCCTAAAGTGAAGTCTGGGGCCATGATTTGAGCACCATCTTCTATGTTACTTGACTAACCTGTCTATTCAGGACACAGTTATATGTCCTGTGTTATATGCTTCAAGTTATAATGTCCAACTAAAAGGTCTAGGAGCTTTATTTTCTAGTATTTTAAGGATCCAGTGGAAATCAGAACATTATGCTTAGTAATAGTTATTCTATTTCCATTAAAACTGTGGGCATTGAAATGCCATTCCATCACTTGCTACCTAGAGTTGGTGCTTACACTATAAGTTGGGGTTCATATCCACAAGACTTCCCTCACTGTGGATGCCAGGAGCAGGTGGAGTCAACTGGCCACACCTCTGATGGTTCAGCTATCAGGCAGGAAGTCCCCACAATGCCTATTAGGTTTGATAATCTGCTAAAATGGCCACCAAACCCAAGCAAATTGGTATAGTTGATTACTTTAGTTTTATATACACAATGCCCATAAGATGGTAGATACATGAAACACTCTTGGTATATCAAATCTTTACCAGTCAGTGAGCCCTGCTAGTCCTCAGTGCCAGCATTTTATGGAGGTTGTGTTATATGATTATGCCTGGGTGAACTGTCAGCCCTGAGACTAAACTCAGTCCACAACTTTCCTTTCTTTGCTAGAGGCTAACGCCAAGTTCCCACCCAGAAATTTCACATGGTTAGCCTTTCTGATGTCCCCACCCTAAAGCTTTGTAGGACCCATGACTCACTTCATTAGTATAATGAGCATAGTCCTATTTAAGGATATTTGAAAATTTGAAATAGAATTTCAGAAAGGATCCTGTGACAAAGATAAGAGGGGTCCTCCAGCGTTCACCTCACCCCCACGGCTGCAGGTGCAAATTTGAGAGCCTGCCTTCCTGCCTCTGACTAGGAATGGTTTCATCACTCTGATCAGCAGCATTTGGGTGGGTAACATGAGAAAGATAATAACATCATTTCAGCATTAGCCCGTAAGAATGTTTTTATAACCTACAGATAAAGACGAGGTGTGTGCAGAGTCGGGGGGTATAAAATAAGAAAATCAGCTTTGAGCTGTTGGAAAGGAGACAGAAAACTCTGGCCACAGGGGCCATGCCCCCATGCTACATGAATTCATGTTGCTTTATAGTTTAGTGGCTGCAGGAAGCTGCGGGGAAGTCAAATACGAAGGTGAACCTGCTGAATTAGACAGAAGGCTTCCCAAGATCAGAGACTGGCTGCATCATACATACGAAAATGCTGCTTTCCTTGAAAGAGAGATGGGAAGCCTTTTCTGTCAAGGGAAAGGATGGCTGGCACGGTAGGGAGGGAAAATAATGAGAAGATGTCTGGGGACACTTGGAAGAGAAGGTCCTGCCGGGTACCCAAGGCCCCGTGGCCATTTGTTCTTTCCTGCCCCATGTGCTAGGCAGGAGAAAACTGAAGATCCTCGGAGCTGCACAAAATGAAAGAATCTCATTCTCCATCAGGTGAGATGCACATGCTTCCTGACACAGTAATTACAGAGAGGAGGAGGTTAGCTGCCTCCACTCATGATCAGGTTTCAACTTTTAATAATCCAAAAGCCTTCACTGCAACTTTGGTGAAGCTGCAACAACAAGCCTGTTGTTGCTAATTAAGAGACCACTCTCCAAAATGATTAAATCTCAAAGCAGCGACAGATCCTTGACTAGCAAAATACACAGAATTCCTCCTGCTTATTCTCGATATCTGTTGGGCGCATGTTTCTAATAGATCTAGGACATACAGGCGAGAGGCATCAAAGTTAAAGCAAAACCCTCTTCCACATGAAATGGACGCTTTTATTATGCAACAGAAAGCAGCTCTTCCCTATTATAGTACATCTGAAATATCATAATGACATCACTTAAGCAGAGTTACCTGTTACCCTCCCTGCTATATGTCATCATTAGCTAGTGTGATATAAATGCCACCAGAGATGGATAAGAGGCCCATCAGGCAAATCATCTGTCCCCAGATGCCAGGCGAAAGTGCTCCCTAATCAGACCTTCATGTGTATATTGTCAACGAGGGTTAAGTGACTGGGGCTGTCAAGTCCCTGCCACTTTCCCCCTGAGAACAGCTGTGGCAAAATTATCAGCATCCTGGACCAGCATGGCTTTCTCTCCCTGCCACAGCCCCTCACAGTTATTACCTAGCGGCAGGAAGGATTTGGTTCCTAGTGGACCTTCTCTGTTATTGGCTCTACCTCTGTCCTATTCCCACCCTTTCTTCTACTTCAGTTTCTTGTCTAGACAAACCTCCAGAAAAATTCTATATTTTTACCTTGGGAACCTATCCATCACTGAAATTATTCTAATTTCTTTGCTTATCTAGAAAAGTTTGTGGGTTTCCTCAGCTTAGACGTGGATTCCCCCACCCAACCAAAGAGCCCAGTTGTCTTAGGGATAATCATAATGATGCAGAGGACTGTTTAAATTCTCCTTCAAAGTGTTCTGAAAGAAATTATGGTTTCTCAAAGGCCCAATTTATCACATGTTGTCAGATGAAATTATCAAATGTAAACACTTCTTCAAACGATACAATACGGCATGATGTTAGCCAGCTAAGTTCCTATTTTGCACAAGAGCAAAGAGTTTAATCGCAGGCCTCTTTAAGGATGTCGCGCTACAACCCTGAGTTTGACAAGGTTTATCACCAGTTTTGGGGGTTCAAGTTTGTTGTTGGTGGTGGTATTTAATACGCTTTGATATGTTTGCTGTGACCCCAATGGCCAGATTTTCTGTTGAGTATCAAACCACTCACATTTCTTGTGTGTACAAAGGAGTTGTGGGCCCCAATTTCAAATCTAAATATTTATCTAACATTGAAATAATAAAGATTTAACTAGTGAGCTATGGAGCGACACCTGTATCTTAATGATTGTCACAATATTTTTCCTTCAAATTAGCTCTTGTTACATCTGAGAGGGTGCTGGACACACAAGAGGAAGGAACAGTCCTCTGCCAGGAAATCTATCACCTCCTAACCTCATGGGCCTCTTTATAAATGCCCCCTTTCTTTTCTTCACTTTGAAAACATAAGAAAGTCTCTACATAGTTAAGTACAGAAGGCTAAGAAATCCAGCCAAATTTTAGGCCAATATTCAGAAGAGCTATTTGGTGATGGGACACTGGCACCTTTCTAAGAAGCACATCAAATCTTTGTCTGTGGAAGGGCAGCCCCCCATGATAGAGTGATAGGTCTCTTTCCTGTGACAGGGTTGGGTCATGGTTTGTGTCCAGATGGATGTGGAAACACAGGCCTCTTATATCAGGAAGGGGGAAAGGAGGACAGGCTAAATGGACCTCCCTTGGCAAAGGTGTGAGTTGGCTTGCTTGTTTCCTTCCTCCTCCCTCTTTCCCTCCTTCATTTTTGTTCCTTCCTTTTTATTTTCAATACATTCCAAACACCTTTTCCCCTCCATTCACTCCTCCAGATCCACCCTACAGCTAGAGCCAAGGATATCAGTTGAACTAGGCATAAACTGTCAAATAAAGGCTGGGCAAGAAAACCCAGTAGGAGGAAAGGGGTCCCAAGAGGAGGCAAAAGAGTCAAAGACACCCCCACTCCCACTCTTTGGAATTCCTCACAACAAAATCCACCAATCTAACAACCATATATGTCAAGGACTTGAGGCAGACCCATGCAGGCTCCATAATTGCGGCTTCAGCCTCTGTGAGCCCTGCTTAGCTAATTCTGTGGACCACGTTCTCTTGGTATCCTAGACCCCTCTGGTTCCTACCATTCTTCCTTCCCCCTCTTCCTCAGGGTTCTCTAAGCTCCAAGGGGAGGGTCCCAATGGAGAGCTCCAA